TAGCTCCATTTGAGCTTGTTTTTCATATAGCCTGTTAAGTGCAAGTGTCTGATACAATACCAACACTGAAGACGCAGTGTTGTTTAATTATTGACTTTTTTCCCCCTGTAGCCTATTTCAGTAGAATACCCAACGGATTACAGAACCGGCTTTACTCATAAGATGCGCGTTAAATATCGCATGCGATTTATCGTGCAGCCCTACACTGTACTATAATATACACAAAGAATATCGGCCGATATCTCGATATCTGCCTTTTTTTTACTCCCTAATATCGGTATCGGTCCCAAAAAAACCATATCGGTCGGGCTCTAGCGTTTACAGAACTTTGTGAGATCGCGATGAATGAAGATGAGCGCGCTTTGCACACTTTCTAGGGTATAATCCATTCAGAATTTGTATGAAACAGAAACTTTTGTTTTTCGGACACATACACCCTGCGAAGTTTCGGGAATGACATCCGCATATTTATGCGGGATTCACTCTCGAAATAGCAATGATTGGCACTGAACATACAATATAGGCTATGTGAAAGGTGAACAACGGCTCTGTGTAGTTAATGCTGCTCAATGTGAAAGCACGCAAGTGATGGAGATTTACCGCTGATTACAGAACCGGCTTTACTCATAAGATGCGCGTTAAATATCGCATGCGATTTATCGTGCAGCCCTACACTGTACTATAATATACACAAAGAATATCGGCCGATATCTCGATATCTGCCTTTTTTTTACTCCCTAATATCGGTATCGGTCCCAAAAAACCCATATCGGTCGGGCTCTAGCGGTTACTACTACAGATAAACATCTACATATCAGATAAGGATTTAGGAATGAAGAACTTTGCCCAAAACTATGAAATATTTCGTGCATTGAATAGAAAAGGAATCGATGCATCAACTGAAGCATAAAGTCGAATCTCACCTTCCAGCATTTCCTCATAGAGTGCATGAACTCCCTCTGGAATGATGACAGCCAGCGCAGTGCCACACAACAGCCCGGCTCCCAACACTGTCACCAACTTCAGCTTCTCCTGAAGATAGAAGAGTAGTCACAAAAACTTGCATTTAGGTCACTAAATTATGTATTTAGGTGGGGTTGATATCAGGTTAACTTCATATGCAAAAGCTGGATATCATAAAAATAGGTTTAAAATATATTAATCAAGAGAAGCATGCAGGTACAATCCCAACTCACAGAAATCATAAACTCCTTATAGACATAAACTTCATCTGGGTCAAAACCAGGGCCATAAGCACCACAGACAGAGCAATATAATGGCTAGGCAGATTAAAAATGAACTAATATTTGGTGATTTTGAGAACAGCATCAGCTTATACATACCATTAAAAGTCAAGGATTTTTATTTTCCTAAAACCCTTATGATTTCTGAAGGATTATATGACACTGATGACTGAAGTAATGGCTGCTGACAATTCAGATTTGCCAACACAGGAATAATGACATTTAGAGTAGGGCTGCACGATAAATCGCATGCGATATTTAATGCGCATCTTGTCAGAAAGCCGGTTCTGTAATCAGCGGTAAATCTCCATCACCTGCGGACTTTCACATTGAGCAGCATTAACTACACAGAGCCGTTGTTCACCGACAAGCTGCGCAAAAAATCGCGCGAATATGAACGTGGTTTTGCGCAGCTCGTCAGTGAACAACGGCTCTGTGTAGTTAATGCTGCTCAATGTGAAAGCCCGCAGGTGATGGAGATTTACCGCTGATTACAGAACCGGCTTTACTGATAAGATGCGCGTTAAATATCGCATGCGATTTATCGTGCAGCCCTAATTTAGAGTATATTAAAAACAGTTATTTCAAATTGTAATAATATTTCACAATATTGCCCTTTTACTGTATTTTGTGGAACAAATAGCCCTGTTGAGCGTAATAAATAGTATTTAAACGGTAGTGTACCTAGTAAAATATTAGTGAATTATTATGTAAAATACATACATACATACAATTCTGAATTTCAGTTTATGGGTACATTCAACTGCTAATTCAAAACTGAAGAACTTTACCTCAGAGTTTTAAATGCCTCCCACGTTTCTGCATTAGTCACTACAAACATGTTTTGATGGCTCATAAACTATACAGCTCGTTTGTCCAGAAAATCAATCAAAAGTTTAAACAAATACAGCGTAGGTAGCAAGTTAAACAGCGTGGGTCTACAGTATAAACTGACGGTTGATATCACATTCAACATTTAAACTTTTAAGACTATTGAGTAGTAGCTTAAATCAAGGGTGCGCAAACTTTTGGAGATATCCCAGTCCTCAGCACTGCACATGATGGACGACTATCTTCTCATAGTTAGCTTTCTGGAGAGAACTTATCTCTGCAGGAAGGTACATTGAGAAACTCTCAAGGACTGAGCACACCATAAACTATTGTAGACACGTTCAACTCAAGTTAAGGCTCACCTCAGAGAAGTTGACAGCCAGGGGAATTGTTCCAGCCACATAGCAGCCGACTAACATAGCCAGAGACAGCAGACTGATGGAGCTGAAGTCATCCATTTCAGCTAAAGATACACCGCTGTCTCAGTCTGAGAATCACTTTAGAGTTTAACAGCAGATCCTGTACAATCGACCGATGTCTGGTGCCAGCTGATCCTTCTTTAACGTACTTGGATTGGTGTATTAGCTGGCTAGGTAGTCAGTTTTATGCATGTATCCTTACAAATCAGACGATTAAACACGAACACCCACTGCTGATCTGCTGTAAAGTCGGTTCGGAGCTCTTGGTACATTGACCTGGTCGATTATCTGAACGCTGTTGCTCAACTTTAATCACACAGAATCACGTCGCGTTTAGCAAAGGCTAACTTAAATCATAACAATCGGTCTGCGATTAAACAAATCAATCAACAGATTTGTGAATTGTTTTCATAGTCTACTTCTCTGATCTCAGGCTGCGCTTAATGGCATTGTGATTCCTTAACAGGCGACACTGTTTTGTCGCAGAAAACCCATCTAGTTTGTTACCTATTCCGCAGTATCGACCATCACTGACCGCCAACTAGCCGAGTGTAATGTTGGTAGTGTGAATAAAGCACTTCCGGGCCACATCGCCGTCAAAACAAAAGCTCCCGCCCCCTCTTTAAATTACGCCAAAAACGTCACCAAGACACTCACCGACAAAATATGACCCAACAAAAATGCTTAAATTCATCCCCAATATTTAAGGTATTTTTAGTGGAATTTGATTGTTTTATATCTCCTCTGAAATTGTTAAAAAACAAAAAGTCATTAACATGTTTAAAATATTATGACATTATCTTCAGTTCCAGTTACTAATTAATGTCACACTTTGTATAGCACTGACTGTCTTATGCTATGCTCTGTTTGTTATTTGTTCTATTTTCATTAAAAAAATAAAACTTGTAGTGTAGCCTACTACAAACCTTAAAAGTATAATAAATAAATAAATAAATAAAATAAAAGTACTTGCTGATAATGTAATATTAAGTACATAAAAGCCAGAGTTTATAATTTTATTTATATTTTTAGTGTACCTCTGATCAGTGAAACATATCTTTTTAAAAAGTGCACTCTGTAATCATGCACTGATCTATATAATCTCAGTTACAGATCAGTGTAATCATGTCAAATTAAAAGTTTAATTTTAAATAACATTTTAAAACAATATGTTTTAAAAATCTTTTGTCATGCTTTGAAGAAGTACACTTATTTTGATGTTCACTTTACATGTGAACATACTAAATCACATGTAAAGTTCTTTATTATAATTCTAAATGTAGTGAGTTAGTAGGCTATATGATAGTAGCCTACATTTAAAGTTAATATATAGGCTATTTTAAATATACTGTAAACAGGGGCGCCTTAAGATAACCAAAGGCCCCTGGGCTACAGCATTACAGTAGGCCCCCCGACCCCAGAAAACCTCTTTTTTTTTGTTAAGCTTCCTAACAATTATTAGTCACTTTTTTGTGTGTTGTTAATATGCAAGTTAAAGTTCACAACACTGTTCTGTGTAAAATGTGAACATAAGCGAATATGCAAATTCACTCTTTGCCACAAGGTGGTGCTTTTGGAACAGCAGAATTATATAGCCCTTACATAAAGTAAACACTACGTTATTACGGGCATTATGCGGAGGTAATATGAAAGGAAAATGTCATCAAAACTTTCCTGGCTGGAATGTGAGTTTACAGGTATGATTTAAACACCATAAATCACACAACATTAATTCATTATCAGTAGATCAAAACAACATGGCATGTTGGCATAAATGTGGGTTATTTGGTGATTGCTAACTGCGTTTTTATTTTGAAACATGACACGCTCGCGTTTAATTAGTTAAATCACAGCGTATAAAGTTTAATGATCACATTTAAGCAAAAGGACAATTCCTATTTTTCTTAAATTGAGATTTTGAAGCAGCACTATTTATGGAACACAGACACACAGATTACATCCGAGCAAGTTACAGAACTCTCACTGGCTAAGTTTACATGCACCATTTTTGGTTCAATCGGACTGAATTCATTCCGATTGATGAATCTGAATGTAGTGTTTACATGAACGCTAAATAAAGTGATCGGGTTGATCTGCAAGCTTTATGTCACAAGCTTCAAATCGGAATGGATTTTTTTTTTTTTACATGCGCACACTGCACAAATATAGAGTTTCTCACTGTTTGCACATAATAACCACTCTCATACACGTTTTTTTTATTTGTTTTTAACAGCAGAATTAATATTTATCCATTTATGGATACATATACATATAAACCGCTGTGCTGTACTGCCCATATTTAGCAAAACAATGGCCCTCCCCGTGCCCAAAATGGGTTGCCTGTGGATGAGAATCCAAAACAAGGACTGGTGAGAGGTTGTCCTGCTCCACTTCACAGTTGCCGAGTGAAAGGAGAGTTTTATAATGACAGTACAGGCATTTATACAACATTTTATTCAAAAGGAAGAACCGCTCGTTCTGCGCGTCATGTGTCATTACGCTATTTCTGATTCTCTGCACATGCGCAGTCCTTTCAGTTTCGGGGTGCAATCCGATCGAGTGTTTACATGCACTCTCAATCGTATTAGAAAAGGAATAAACCACCCCCTTCAATCCGATCGAAATTTCATTCTGATCGAGTTCAATGGGATCGAGCTCAATCGGATCGATTAAGGTGTTTACATGAAGGCTTTTCAGTCCGATTGAGCCGTCAATCCGATTACAAACGGATTATTTGGTTGCATGTAAACGTAGCCACTTGTATGACGTTACAGAATGTTGTCCGGTCCAGTTCCTTTCACACAGCAGTGTTGTGTTTCTGTTAATCTGCGTGTTGATGTAACAGAGGCCAGCGGTAGGTGCTGTGCAGGTAAACCTCACTCTCCTGATCTCAAGAGATGCACTAGCGACTGAAGCTAGTGGCTGCAGTCTTTAGCCTCCTTGTTAGTGTGTCCGCCTCCCATGCCGGAGACCCGGGTTCGAGACCCACTCAGAACGAGGTGTGGTGGTGAGGACCCGGGAGAGAGGGGTTACATTGGTGCCGTGACCCGGATGGGAGTGAGGTTTAGGGGGGTGAGTGTAACAGAGGCCAGCGGTAGGTGCTGTGCAGGTAAACCTCACTCCCCTGATCTCAAGAGACGCACTAGCTGCAGTCTTTAGCCTCCTTGTTAGTGCGTCCGCCTCCCATGCCGGAGACCCGGGTTCGAGACCCACTCAGAATGAGGTGTGGCGGTGAGGACCCAGGAGAGAGGGGCTACATTGACATAAAGATGCTCTCGTGCTGCGGTTATTTACTAGCAAATGCAATTTACATTCCGCTTACAGTATATGGATTGAACACGTGGAACATACCAACTTTACAAACTGTGTGGGAGAACCTAAACTGAGCCATTCACTATATAGGCCACTACAACCAAGGCATCGCTAAAAATGAGTGTGTGTGTTTGTTTACAGAACGCTGTTGTCACTGCTGCAAACTCCCATATAAATAATTATTAAAAAAATATAATTTCCCTGCAGCCAGTGGGCCCCCTTTCCAGTGTAGGCCCCTGGGCTTCAGCCCCTTGAAGCCCGTGCATTAATGCGCCCCTGACCGTAAACGTAAATCACAAATTTATCATTGTAAATGTGTAATTACAGATATATTTAAATACATAGGCCTACATATTTAACAGTAGTGACATTAAAGTAGCTTACATTTTAGTTTACCATAAATACTTGTTCATCCAATGACTATATAGACTAATTATAACATTAATCATAAAGATTAGAAGTGGGTCAAAAAAGCACCAATTCAACTAATTTCATAATACATAATTGCATACTAAACTATAATACAGTTTCATTTAATTCTAAACAACATCACATTCAGTTCACGCTTGAGTATATTCTTCTAAAGTATATTATTTCCATAATAAGTGCTCTTAAATTAAAATTAAATTAATAAATTAAAGGAAATAAAATGGATGCTTTCTGAAAAAAAAAGGTAGTTTGAAACCAGGGGGCCACAAGATAATTTAAAAATAAGTTATATTGAAATAATACTATATGCTTATAATCTGACAAGTAATCAGTTGTCATTTTAATTTGTCCCCTATTGTTTTTGTTGAAGGACACATATATTCCTGTTGAAAAGACCCCACCTTAGATCAACATAAACTTCCATGCTGGTTTCTGCTGATTTGATGGTTGTCTTGTTGATGGACCAGCATGGACAAGTAGCTGGTTGGTTGACAAAAGAAGTTTTGTTTAAGTCACTTAAGGGCAGGTGGGAACACAGCATCCTATGATGGGGGACCAGCTAAACTAGTCTATGCACATGATTAAAAGCTATACTAAAATCTAAAATATAAATGGCTAAAATATATGTATTTGGGATTTCATTTAAATTCATGCTGAAAGGCATCAGGTCTAACTAAGGCTGTCAGTCCCAACCCTGATGTCAGGAGACCACGGGAGTATTTAGAACATCCCTCATGTAGAACGCTGAGTGTTCTCTGCTTCTGTTCTTAGTCAGAACAGCCGCATTTTGCTTACTGTTGGATTAGGAAGATCAAAGAGCTTATAATGTATTTTAGAAATGGTTACACTTAATATTTACAAGGTGATAAAAAACTAAATTCGGGGGCGTTTGATAAGAGCAAAGGTCTGAACATATTAAATATCACCTTAGTTGACTTCTTACCCTTCAAAATGGCTAACAGCCAATTCTCACAGGCTGCTGACTGCCTTGGGCTTCATGCTGAAAGGCTCACAGTGCCAGAAACAAAGCACTGCAAATGTAGCACTGATATTGATTGAAGAGTGCCTGAATGTGTGCCAATGACCGTTGGCATGGTGTAAAATCCACAAAGAAATGAAAAATGTAATTTATTCCAAGCGCTAATATTGCGTTCTGACTGCCTTATTGCAGTTTTGTACGCTATTGTTGTCACTGTTACTATTTATTAAACATGTGCTATGTTTGGTATTATTTAGTTATCATTACTATACTTCATTTATTGAATTTGCAATGCAATTTCTCATTATTTATGACAATAAGACAAGAATAATTAAGATTTTTTGTAACTAACGTTTGATAAGTCATATTTGCAGAATTTAAAATTGGAATTAGAAGGACGAAAAAAAAACCCTCATAATTCTTTGTATAACAAACAGTATAACAAAGAGTAAAAGTTACCAAAAGTTGAAGTTATTTGCAGTAAATAAAATCGCAATGGCTGAATATGTTAAAATTAAAGTCCAATAAAATTGTATTAGTTTCCTTTATGTGAAAATGGTATTGGACATCACTGAAAGATGAATTATGCATTTTCCCCCTCAGCTGAAAAGTACCCTTCATTCAACAATTAACATTTGACCTTCAGTTTAAGAATCCCTATTTCAACATTCAGTTTAATTATACTAGTCCTTGAACATTGCTTGATTCCCCCCATGTCTGCCTCTGGTTATCTAAGCCTTTCAATTAGTTAAAACATACCTTGATATAGACCAGACTTATTTTGCCAGCAGGAATCTGTTATCTTTTCTGACCTTGGATCATTAGAGACATTTATCCACTGAAAATGAGCAATTTTTTTTTC